CACACACACACACACACACACACACACACACACACACACACACACACACACACACACACACACACACACACACACACACACACACACACCCATCCATCCATGGGAAGCAGGGTTTCTAATAACAATGACATCATGTATAATCTCATTGATTTTTAACGTATTACTGACTTTTTCCATAATACCATGTAGCTTACGTTCTTAAGCTAAAAATGAGCCGAACTTTAAATATAAATAATATGACACAGTATGTGTATATACAAAATATTAAGTGGAGATTTAACTGTCACGGGTTAGATCACAAAAACTAGTTCTTACATGGAGATTAGGTATATCTTAATATTAAACAAAAAAAATGTATACTGTTCTAACTGAATAAGCGTACTGACAGAATTAACATTAGCAGGTTAATATATGACTTCTTTAGACAGAGCCGTAAAAGAGTTGTTGATAATATCTGACCTTACACTTCAAAACACTGTCTAAAATTATTAAAAAACGTAATAAAATCACAAATTACAGTATCATATACTAATAATATACAATAAATGACCAAATACTGTTAGCTTAACCAGATTTCTCTCTGTAATTCTTGAAAATAGATTTCTAAATGAGTATACTATCAATTACTTACTATTATTAATTAGGCCAGAATGTACTCACCAAGTCTTCAAATGTGCATATATTTGTTTAGCATGGTATTAAAAAAAGTTTGATTTGGCAAATGTACTGAAACTAATATATTGTATCAGCAGTTGTACATAAAAATGGCGATAATCACCCAGTAAGAGGAAAACATCTGTTCTATTTTCATGCCTAGAACTCCCTTTTATATGCAAGTTCAGAAGTAGTCAGGAAACCCTGGATGCCCTTTAACACGTGTCTATTTCTGGACTCTTTCTTGGCAAGTGTGTGTGAGAGACTGTGGAGGAGAAAGACGAAAAGGTGGGTGTGTGTTGGGCAAAACTGAAAGTTGTTTTTTCTCACTGGATCGGTTGGTCAAGTGTCTGAACCGGAGTCAAGGGAAAGAATGTAGTCCCATTAAAACACATTAAAGAGATGGAGAGAGGGGGGGGGAGTTGACAGTGTGAGAAATCTCAATGAGGTTAACGGATATAAATGAACAAGAGGCAAGAGATCAAATACATTGACAAAAAGACAAGGAAAACGTAAGATTCGAGAGATATGCCAGAACAAAAACAGAACGAGAAAGTGGGACAACTAGATCAGAAAAAGATGGGTAGAAAGATAAAGGGAAGGAGGATAGAAAGAGCCAGACAGAAGACAGCCGGCAGAGTCAGAGATGCTAGCAGCTGATATTAGCTAGCAGTGAGTTTCTGCATTCCTCACTCAAGGAAAACTCTTAAACATGTATGACTGACTCCTCTGTCAGATTTAGAAGCAAATGAGACTCCTTCAGAATGCAAATTAGCAAGATAGAGATCTTCTATTTTCTTGACACGCATATTTAGCAGTCTATCTATCAACCGTTTTCATTTACAGTATTTGAAACACAGGGTTAGCAATGTTTTTCCGGCATACACTACGACATCTCGTCTTTTTTCCCTTTAGACCCTTGTGGTTTATTCTTAAACCCTTACCCTTACCCACCCCCCATTTTCCCTCTGCTGGTCTATGGCCTTGTAGAGGGTAACGGGGTACAGAGTCGCTTAGATAAGCGGGGGAGTGCATCTGACGAAGAGATAGGTTGTTGTGCTCCCTCTCTCTGTTTCTTATCCTATATCTAATAGAACTGCTCGGGTCTTGATAGATTGAGTGGGGAAGTTCATGAGATCTTTCTAGAGGGTTATCAAGAATAACTTTTATCCAATGACCTTTCCCCTCTCTGTCTGTGTCCGTGTATTCTCTTGTTCCGATTAACCCAGCCAAATCTTTCTTCTTGTTTTGTATCTATATCTACGCCGGGATCCGGAGTCGAGGCTGATCCTCTTGCTGTAGTCCTGTGTCCTGGATCCTCTATCCTGAGTTCTGGATTAAGTCGTGGATGTTCGGGTCGTGGCTGAACCTGTCTCTGCGGTCCTGCCTTGGGTCTCGTCATGCTGCTTCCCTGATGGCTCCCACAGGATTGTAGCTGACATCCTCGTGGATTCATCTTCTTATTACAGACACATGCATTTCCTAACATTCGGTCTATATGCTGTAAAATGTATTATCTCTTCGATTTACACACGGCATCTATTGCACGTCTGTCCGTCCTGGGAGAGGGATCCCTCCTCTGTTGCTCTCCCTGAGGTTTCTCCCATTTTTTCTCCTTAAACTGTGGGTTTTCTCTGGAAGTTTTTCCTTGTACGATGTGAGGGTCTAAGGATAGAGGGTGTCGTTTTTCTCATCCTGATATTCTGAACAATCTGTGCTGTTGTATTTGCTGTAAAGTGTCTCTACTGTAGGCTATTTTTATTTTATGTAGCCTACAGCACTTTGGCTCGACCAAAAATCGTTTATAAATGTGCTATATAAATAAAACTCCTGTCAAATTTGATTTGACAGGAGGCTAGCATTTTATAGCTCATCTATTTTGGACAGGGTTCAAACAAAACAGATATATTTTTTGTTTCAGGGCACTTTTTATTGGTTATATATCATGTCTATAGTTGCTAGCGCCACAGTTCAGGAAGCTAGCTATTTAGCAACATTAGCAACAAGCTTGCTAACTCGTAACCTGAACAAATCGACCACAAGCCCACATATATTTGACCAATTCCCATTAACCGACTGCATGTCAATCATGTCCAAGTATAATGTTAACTCTCTCTCCACTAGAGATTGACATGGTCGTGATACTGCCAATAGATATCTACTGAATAGCTCGATCGGCTACGTTTTGTCCAACAAAGCAAGAAAAAGTAGGTTAAGTTAAGCCTGTTGTGTCTTTGCAGCAAGCTATATAGTTAAATGTTATGATTGAAAATTGAGATCCACTTTCCTTGTGGCAGCAACCAAAACTGAAAACAGCATTTTCCGCCATTTTTCCATTCTGAAATACTTTTAGAGATTATCTGCCGATCAACTTATCGATTAGTAAATGAATGGTCTTATCATTGCAACGCTTTTTGTAAACTAAAACTATGAGCCTAAAAGCTCTGTAGAGAGTTGGTGATATCTCCTCAAGTGACCCCTTTCTAATCAAAAATAGATTGATTAATGGAGAAATTAAACATTGACTAACTGGAAACCACTGCACAGCTTTTATTCTACAAATGATTAATCAGTATCAAACAGTCAGACTGATTGAACAATAACACAACTTCCTGTTTCATCACAGCTGTAACCCTGCTATGGTTACATTTCCGCTGTAGATAAATTCCACCTATTCATAGGGTTATTGTTATTATTGTTGTCATTAATTAACTGATATCTACCATAGGGTCCATGTGGAGCCAGTGTAAGTGACATTAGCACCACCCGCCCAGCTAAAATAAATATATGGTCTCCTTTCCGCAGCCCTCTTATCGGTGCACAGTGCAGAGTTCAGTCAGACTCGCCCTTTGACTGAACACAGAATAGCACTGTGGGAAACCACAAACAATATATTTCATCATTGTGACACGTTTCATTGTCAGTGGGTGTTTAACTACAACCAGTTGGGTCCTGCACAGATTTTCCGTTTCCGTTCCATTCAGATTGTGATTAAAGCTCAAGTCATAGTGGAAACAACTCTTATCACCTGATCTAACTATGACAAGACAATCCAACAGCCATATGTTTTATTTATTTCTCTTACAGGATAACATTCCTTCAATGACTTGAAGTTAATATTTGAACAACACTCCTTGTACAAAAGTATGTTGCCGCCTAACATTCTAGCCATAACTGATGGGTGACACAAGTCCTTCATAAACTCTGCATATTAACACACTGATAACAGTTTCTACAGTTGTGTGTTAGACTTTCTACAAGATTCTACACGATTATCCAGATCATCCCAAAGCTGTTGGATAGGTTTGAGGTTAGGGGTCACTGCAGGTCAGTCAAAAAGAAAACCAACTGGAAAAACAATGTCTTGATGGGCTTTTCTATTTGCAGTGTCATGTTGAAAAGTTGGTATTTCATACTGTAGCACTGAGATGTCCCTTTCATGAAACCAAAAAATACAAACTGTCCCCAGAGGTACACCAATGGGGGATAAGGGCATCAACATTTTGGCCCAAATAGATTTGAATCCTATGACTGATAATAACATTTATGTGGAAAGTATACTCGTAATATCAGCGTTGGAAGAGGTAACTTTAATAAGTAATGCTAGAATGTTAAACATACATACTAAAAAAAAGTCCTGAATTGAGAGTCTTACTGAGGAAAAGTCTAATTTAGCCTCAAAATGCAGGTAATATCCCAAAAGTAAAAGTATTCACTCTGTACAACTGCCTATTTCAGAATAATATATTTTCTGAATTATAATAAGCGCTGCATTAATGTGTGTATCTCTTTAATTGTGCAGTTATAGAATAAGTGAAGCTTATTTCAACGTAGTAACCAAACTATCTTAACCTATACAAATAGATTACATTTTGTAATACAAATCTAAATAGCATAAAGTCAAAATACTCAAGACAAGTAGATGAAACTTAAAATATACTTTTAGAAGTATTACTCAAATAAATGTAGGCTTCCATGTTACTTTTCACAATGGGTTAGTGGTAATGTGAATATGTACTTTATTCAACTGCTGGTTATAATGAAATGTAAAGTAGGTTGCTTTGTATCCCAATTGTATAGATCTTTGTAACATTCAAATTATTTACTAGCATGCATCACTTTGTGGTAAGTATTGAACGATGCCAACACATGTATCCTGCCTTCAGAAAAAGTTACAAGAAAAGTATATTCAACGATTCCTCCCTGCAGTTGCCCACTAAAAACGCTTCAAACCGACTAAAGTGTATTCTAAACCACAACCAAGTTAACTCCGGCAGCATGAAACGACCACAAAGCGACGCAGGTTAAAATCCAACGAGCGTCCCGGTAAATGATCAGCCTCTTACCTGTTAGTGCTCCCTCTGCGGTGCTCTGTGAAGACTGACAGGCTGCTCTTTCTGCCTGACAGGAGTTTGCCTCGTGGGTGTGTCCTGGGCTACACCTGCCGCACACGGGGAACTGCGTAATGAGCGCGCGCGACGCCGATGACGCACGGAGGACAGTTGTCGCTTTACCTGTTGGAGGGAAGATAGGAGGGAAACGCGACGAGGGCAGAAAACAAATCTGGGGGAAGTCCACTGAGAAAGATATTCACTCTCTCTGCTCACCATGTATGGACATCCAGTGAGCCAGTCTCACACTAAAATGCAACTATTGAAAGACTTTCAGGAATGTTCTCCTCCCCCGTGGCCTTTTAATTTCCGGTTCTCCTTTCTGATTATGCCACTTATGGTTTTCTTGTTCTTTGTTCCAGTTTTCTGTACATCTATCTATCTATCTATCTATCTATCTATCTATCTATCTATCTATCTATCTATCTATCTATCTATCTATCTATCTATCTATCTATCTATCTATCTATCTATCTATCTATCTATCTATCTATCTATCTATATATATATATATATCCATCCAGTGGGAATGCAGCAAAATTCAAACAAAGACCAAAAGTTATAAGAAAAGTAATTGTTTCATATTAAAGCAATCTAAATCCAAGCAAGATAAGAGATAAAATAGTTTTATTTTTATTTTTTGCATAGTATAAAATAAATAACAGACATGCGTATTGATTACCCCAAATGTGTTCCCAAAATGTATACAAATATATATTTTAAAATATATAAAATAGTAATGGATAGTAGGTAGTTGATTTTTTTGTCCACTTTGTCCCAGCCTAAGATTTTTTTACAACAACTTCTGCATGGATTTTATGGAGTATTCATGTTCCCCCCGGGAGAAATTGTATAATAACTTCAGTCCTTCAAGTAAAGCATCAATATCACACTTTTGAATAGAGTAGAAGAGACAGTAAATGGTGTATTTAATTGGCATTCTCTATATTTCTCTGTCTGTTTATGTATTTATTTACTGTTTATACTTATTTTTTATTTTATATCTCATGTGCAATTCCTTAACATTGTACTGCAACAAAAAACATTTCCAATTAAGGACCAGTTAACCATTAAATCTAATCTAATCTACACAATTGTTATCTTTTAGACCATAAACCAATCTCTTTTGTGTTAAGTGCAGGCTTGATGTGATATCTGAACACTAAAATGTCAACTTTGATCTTAACATAATCACAGTGGGGGGGACTTTTTACAAGACTAGAGCCAGATTTCCAGCAGTCTGAACTCACAGTGGCACGCAGCAGAGACACTGGCAGCTCTTATGATGTTTGGAGTCTCCAGCTGTGGGTTATGCAGCCGCTGGTTGCCATAGGAGTCAGACTGAACGTCTTGTGTTGAGAAACCCTGAACACCACGCCTCACATTCCTCTGTTCTGAGCAGACACCCATTCTGCTGCCGACACTATGGACTCACACACCTTACACATACATTCAAATGACCTTAGTAATGTCCCATTCATATACAAATAACTTTGTTAAGACAAACCTGTTTGTGGAAAGGCTAATGCATTGGAATTTAAATAAGTTACTGTCAGAGTGTCAGGTTGCTGGCAGGTCAGACTCACCTGAGGAGGGTTTTTGAAAACGAATGGCCCCAATATCTGATAAAAGTGCAGCACGTTATCATGTACAAACCAATGCACACGCCTGCTAGTGGGCTTGATAGGAATGAGATGTAAGCAGCATGGCCCTCTTGTTGTGAAACTGTTACAAGGACATCGTTACAAATATGTTTTTTCCATAATAACCATGTTTGAAATTCAGTCTTACTCACATTACACTTCACAAACTTTTATGCAACAACATTTAAGTCCACATGAGATAGGAGTCATCCTCAAAATAAAACAATCAAACTTAAAAAGGATTACCCCATGGTATGGAAATGATGTTGTGTTTAGGTGGTGTAGTTGGCCTTAACCAAAACTATTTGATAATGAAAAAGGCCCTATTGTGCTTTGTGGGGGTTTCTCTGTCCTGTAGTGTGTTATATAACGTTCTTTGCATGTAAATGGGCTAAAATCCCAAAGTTCCCTCCAGAGGGAGCTTCAGTCAAATGAATAGAACATTTATTTGTTTTTTTAATATCTCTCTCAATGTGTTGCGTGCAGGACTTTTGCCTCCAAGAAAGTCCAAGGTGCGATGTCCATGACACCAATAGGAAACTGCCTTCCTGCTATAATGTATCTGGGAAAAACATTGTGTAATAAAGTAAAGAATAACAAAGTGTCCCCCTGTCAGTCATTGTGTTTCCCTCTGTAAGTGATAAACACATTTCCCATATTCAGAAGATCTTAAAACGACTCTGCTTCGGTTAGTAATCATTCAAGTTTGGGTTGTCTTGTGAATTTCTTTTTTTAACTTCATATTTAATTTTTTTTATTAGTTACACAATTTCTGCATCACACACACACTGTCTTGGAAATCACTGCCAGTGTTTGCAATTTCATTTCTAGTGAGTAAAGAAACATACTTTGTTTAATCCACAGAACTTTAAATTCAATTGTAATAAAGATTAGAATGTGTCAATATGTATTTAGGTGAATTGTGTCTCTCATGACCTTAGAGTCGAGGATTTGGATATTTCACTCGGTGGTGATATGAAACTGTGAGACACCCCTCAAGCGACAAAGGGGAAATACAAGTGAAAGCTGCGTGATGAGGAGTTAATTTCCTTCTTTCCCACATATATTTTCTTTGGCTGTGAATCAGCAGAGCGCTGTGTTGCGTCACCTGGATGTTCAGGGTGTGTGTAGCTCAACATGCTGCAGAGGGGAGCGTCCGGGTGACAACCTTTACTCACACACTGATAACTCACACTGCTGCAACAAGAGGTGATCTACTTGCTCAGTTATGCTGCTCATTAATACGTCAGCAGAATTGTTATATACGTTTTCTTGATTTATGTAGACAAGCTTTTGTATGATTAGTCGCTTTTTCCATTTTGCAAGTCTCTTTTTTTTGTGTCACATATCTTTATTGTTTTTTAACAATATACTGTATGCAAATGCAAATACCTGTCTTTACAAGTCTCTCTTGAATAATTAATGTTTTTATTTTCCCTAAGGGAATTTACTGTTAAGAAATATCATAAACAACGCACCATGACAATGCTTTTTTGTGGATATAATTACTGTTGATTAATGCCATTGTAGGGAAAACATTTCAAAGTCTGTGGACAGATGTAATATTCAGAAAAACGAATTGTTTGTTAAAAACTCAGAATATCTGAGATGATAAAGTTATACATGTTGAGGAAACTTTGTGAAATGTTATGACACTAAATGTTAACACAATTCATTTAGATCTTTTCTTTTTTATCTGACGTACAATGACCCCAAAAAATGGTTAATTCACATTTTCTCCACAATTTCAGTGTTTTATACGCAAAATACTTAAACTGGGAATTTCATCTGCATGCTGAATCAAAAATGGTAAAGGACTGTGTAGTTATTGCAAAAAAAGTTATCCAAATTTGATTTACCCAAATGACAAACTTGTGGGGTATTGTCAATATTTTGTAATGCTCAGGTAATCCTGAAAGTTAATATTTTATACGGCTGATTTCATTAATGTTGCGGTGGAAATTCCACACTTAATCACCTTCTGGTAAGAAAAGAACAAATGACACAGACCGAACATCAAGACAGCATGCTGAAAGATGATCGAAGACTCAGGTGGAAAACATCCAGCAGCCACACCTACACCTGATGGTTTGTGGCAGAACATGTTGCGTTTCAGTCTAAAAACAGTTAGACTGAACAGGTTTCAGAGGAAAATGTTCCAACGTGCTGGAAAGAGCTGCCAGATGAGTGCTAATGAAGTCATATACACTTAGTCACTTCTGACTCTCAACTGATAATAACTACCTCAATGACACATTTACTCCTCAAAACCACAGAAGATGACATGCTATGATCCATAAGAGATTATAAAGTTGGGTTATTTCAGGTGTTCCTGGTTTCATAAGCAAAAGTCTTGCTCTTTTTTTCATACACGATTTAAATGGGAGTGAAAATGAGCCCCGGGCTAGGGTGGACATGAAACTCTCCTGGCAGAATCATCCATAAGCCGACAAAAGATAAACAACTGTATTATGAAAAATCTGGTTCCCGGTATGTAAGGGAGGCGTGTGGCGCAGTGGATAGAGCCTTGATGTTGGGATCAGGGGGTCACAGGTTCAAACCCCACTGCAGTCAGCATGTCGTTGTGTCCCTGGGCAGGACACTTCTCCCCAAATTGCTCCTGTGGGGATTATCCACAGTATTGAGAATGTACGTCACTTTGGATAAAAGCGTCTAACATGTAATGTAATAAAAGTCAACAAAACAAGCCAGTAGTCACTGTTTTAGATGCTTGTTTAATGTTAAAAAAACAACTAATTTGAGACCAAATGTACTTTATTGGGCAGTAAGGTACAACACGTGTTGGACATTGATCAAGTGCTCATGATCTTCTTCTGTAACTTGTATTACGTATCAGCTTAAAAATAAAGGGTTTTCATACAGCCTGTACTTCACAGATGGAGGGTTTGGCAACTGTAAGATGAACATGTTTTGTAAAGTCGACAAGTTCACAAACGGCTCATAAAATGTGTTCATGTACTAAATATCGGGAAATTGACATCAGTACCTGTAGCCCACAGGCAGATGCCTATGAAAACACTTTGATGAGTCAAAATGAAAAGTCATCCTAAATTGAATAGAGCGTTTCATGTAGGGATCATCAGGACAGGAGGCAATGCCTTCAACTGAAGAACCAGTTCCTCCTCAGGCTCGAAACCTGTACAGGCGTGTTACATCTGGGTGGAAACACAGACTGTAAACACATGGCTTATTATTCAAATTAGTGTCAAGTGTCAGACTTATATCGTTTGTGAAATAAACATAAATCATCTAGAGCCGAAGAATATAGCTGCATAAGGTCAAAATGCTACAAAATAAAGGAGATGAAGTTTGAATACCGATTCTCATCCGTTAATACAAGACACTGAATACCTACATAATACAGTATGCATCCATTGAAATGGAGATGTAAAGGTCAAATTAATCATTTGCCCCCTTTTGAAATAAGCTTATCCTTTTCAGTGTCACAAAAGACAATCTATCCCAGCATGCATTGGGAGAATTGTATTCAGTGGTACACCCAGGACAAGGATTCCAGTCTATTGCATA